CCTTTCGACTTTGTCAGACTTATTTGTTCTCAGTGCTGAACAGCTTCCAAAGAATACATCATGTAATTGAAAAGTCAGCATTTCTTGTAAGAGCTGTTTGAATGAAGAGCACTTAGCGAGTTTGAGCCATTATTCCCATTTCATTGATAGGGAACTTGGAGCACAGGGATGTGAAGGGACTTGTCCCCTACAATTGCAGCCTGATTCTGTGTGTTGTGTTGAGCTGCAGCTGGGATAAAAGTGAGTTCATCTCCACCTGTGAATTAAAAGATAGAAGTACCAGTGAGTCTAAATTCCTTGGAGGAGAGGAAGAAGCATAGCTATGGTTTTGCATCTGTCAACTGAGCAGCTCAGCTAGGAGCTGTTTGGAGCTTTCCAAAGGGGAAGGAAAAAAGTTCTGTTTCAAAAGCATGTTTCTCCATTTTTTTTTTTGTCATAACATAATGCAATAAGCAATGACCCAACAAAAACCTGATTCATGTTATGAACAGTGGAAACAAAACAAAACTTGCTGCATTGGCAGGTTACGCTTATTCATCTAATTCAGAACCTAATCCAGCCTCTAGAATGAAGCATCACCTTGCTGACTTCTACAACAGCTCTGGAGAAGGGAATGTATTGGAGAGAGGTTTCTTTCTTCGCATATGAATCTCTCAACTTTCTGTTCCATGCAACTGCATAGGTTTTACCTGCAGGAGTAAAAAGCAGCTCGAGATGGCAGTGGTCATCAGCTGTAATTTGGTTTTTCTGTGTGGAACAAAAGTAGCTTTACTGGTTGGCAGTGTTTTCTCACTGAAAGCTAAATTAAAGCTGGAGTGCTTTAGTGCACTCCACATGCAAAAGTAGACTGTGCTGGGTTTTTTTTTGGTAGAAACTTTAAAATCTGTTAACCCAACATAGAGATAGACTGCAAAGGGGAAATAGGGAAACGTGCCTGGAGAATGGGTGTCCCATGGCAGAACCTCTTCTTTCAGGCTGAGGGCTGTGTGCATGTGCTCACAAGGGCTGTCCCTCGTGGTGCTGCTGTTCAGGGCCCTCTGTGCCAGGTTCCCTCAAAACAGGCAGATTTCTAGAGACTGAAGTGGGAAAAAAAAAAAGAAAAGATTTTAAAAGGTGCTTGTTACAAGGTAGATATTACCGCCTACCTAATAGCACAGGTGATCTTGATTCTTCTCAGTTATGGATTGATTATCTGCTGTGCCATCGCTTGCAAATGTTGCTGTATAGCCTCCTTTGAAGGGAAATCATCCACTTTTATAGATGTGGAACCCAGGTGGCGTCAGAAGAAATGATTACTCAGAGTTGCTCATACTCTGTGCACACAACCCACACGCCTTTATGGCTGTGGACTTGAAAAACAAATGCCTGGCATGGTGTGGCTGTCCCTGTGCCGCAAACAGGTGCCTTGCCGCATTCTGGTTTTGTTTCTAGGAGGTTCCACTTGTGCTGGGGCCTTTTTAGAGACAATTGCATTTCTACTGCCTTAAGGAAGCTGGCTGTTCAGAGACAAGCTGCACCAGCATCACTTTGGGCTGGGTTGTGGTGGATCGAAGCCCAGGGCCAGGTCTGGTTTTCCCAACGCGTGCATCCCCTGAGGAGGCAGCTTGTGCTCCTCCTCCCTTCCGCTTGAGAAAGGGAGTGTATTTTGAGTGCAGAGCAGCATTCATGCTCTTTGCATCATGTTACAGCTATCCAAAAAGCTTTTTCAGAGACTTTCAGATCAAAATGAAGGCGAGGGTGACCTCTTTCATGAATGGACGAAAATGGAATGTTTTCATTTCCAATAGGCTTTGAGCCAAGTAAATATTAGTCAATCCAAACTAGTTTTGAAATTAAATTATTCTTATTTGTTGGAGCATTCCAGGGAACGGCTTTGATCTGTCTGTACTTTCACCAAAGGGATATTGGCAGACTGGCCATCCAGTTCTAGCCATTGAGGATGAAAGAAGGGTTATAATAACCACCTTGTGCGGCAGTGATACTGAACAGATGACTTTTTTGGATAATATTAAATGAATAAAGGTAAACACACTTCAATTAAAATGTTTTTGGAGGCTGAATGCAATAGAGCTGTTGGAAACTCTTCTGTGAGGATCGAAGGAATTTTGGCTGCGTTTGTAACTGATTTTCTTTAGCTCCACAAGTGTTTGAAAGAGGGAGGATTGTTCTGTGCACTGTTTCCTCTTCAAATAAATACGTTGTTTCAAAATGGCATTTGAAGATTAAATAAAAATTGGCAGTGGGTAGCAAAGTTGTTAATAACCGAGGAGAGAGATGTGTGTTGAAGGACGGCCTGCACTTTGTGTTTTGTTCCCGCTGGGATCTCTGGTCACGTACAGCAAGTTGTCCCGTGCATAGCACAGCCAAGAGCTCGTTCAGGAGACAGCTGAGAGTAAACTGAAGCACGCAGCGTTTAGGTGGCACCTTATCCATCTTGCTGCAGACGTTTGGAGACAATGTACGATTTCAGTTTAGAAAAATTATAATATTTAGCTGACATAATTAGGATATTGGGCTTCTCTAATCAGGCCTGGACCGGGTCCTCCAGAAAGATCAGGAGAAGGGTGATGGAGAGCGTTCCTCCATGAAGCACGGTGTAGGCACAGCTGAAAAGCTGACCGATAGCAGCTGAGGAGAATTTGTTTCCCCTAGGCTTAAATGTGCACTAAGGTAAACAGAGCTAAAATAAAACATACAAACTGCGGAATAACTGTGACTAGAAGGGATTGCTGGAGGTCACCAGGTCTATCCCTCCTGCCTAAAGCAGGGCCACCTCTAAAACTGGGCCTGACTGCTTGGCAATTTCAGACTTCTATATGAATAGTTCACACATCTTGTTAAGCCTCAGCTTGGGCAGATTTCAGGTTTCTTACCTGTGTTTACACACAGTCAGTTGTAGTCACCATTTTATTTTGCTTCTTTTTGTCTATTTTTTTTTTTTAGATCAAGTGTTGTGCTGGCAAGTGCCTTGTTCACATGTATAGCCAGGTGTCTTCTCACGTGCACTCTCTGCAGATTTGCTTTTGCTTTATGAGAGTTGGACTGGCTGTACTTGAATTGTGAGTTAAAGAAAAGAACAATTCCCCTTAAGAGCTATGGCTTAAACAATTGGCCCCATTGATGAGTATCCTTAAACATCACCTCATTTTTAAGTCTGTTTAAGTACCTTGTGTGTTCATGCCTTAAGGGGGGAACAGTTTGAACAAAGATGGATAGATAAAAAAAAGTCCAAGCTCAAAGGATTTGCAGGCTGAAACTTTTTTTTTTTTAATTGAGCATTCGCTCAAAACTGGATCCATTTGCTTGCAATGGGTTATTTTGTTTTCAGCTCAGCATGTGAACTTGTCATGCTTGAGTTTAATTTCTTTCTTTTTGCACCTGTTTTTGTTTTGACACTGAACATACAGAATCTATACTTTTGCTCTGTGCTTCCTTTATCCCCAGCTGGAAGCCTGGTGTGATGTTATCATGCAGTACTTTCCTGAAATGTCCATTTGGAACTCTGCAGCCTGTGGAAATGCAATCTCCTTGCTGCTTCATTTATCTTTGCGAGTTCATGATTTTGTGCATTAAAAGACTGACCCATATCTTTTAAGGCTGAAGGCTGCACTGCGCTGAAAAACCTTGTTTGTGTCCAAAGCAGTCCATGCGGTCTGACCATGGTGAGAGCTACCAGCCAGGGCAGGGGAGAGAAGAATTTAAAGTTCACTGGATGTGGAGGAAGCTCTGCTGGGGCATGAAAAGAGTTGAAGTGATGATGAAAGATGGGGGAGACTGGAAATGGAGTGTGGGAAGCGACACTAACATGGTACGGGTGCTCGTGAAGACTTGGAAGTCTTAGATTTTTCTTCAAGAGATTAACTGAATGATTTTAAGGAGAAAGTTTGAAGTGAATGACATGTGTCTTCCATTGGCTATGCAAATCAGAATTACATAATCGGCACAAATAATAATAAAAACAATCTTTTCCAGATTTGCAGCCTTAAGCACATGCTCAGTGTTGTGGCAGAGGGCTGGCTAATGCAGCTGCTGTGTAAAACTGGGACAACCAACTGGTTTTGATCTTAGAGGGAACTGGGGCAGAAGGTCATTTCAGCCCGTCCTTGGTGTCTCAATGCTTTGTGTATTTCAGGCACATAAATGGTGGGCAGTCAGATCAAGTGAACGTGCTTCACTTATTGGTATGGTAACTGCAAGTCCATCCCCCTTCCCTGCTTCCCCTTTTCCATGGAAAACTGAATTTGTTGGATATGTGGTCTGTACAGACCCTGTGGTCTGTAGGAGTGCATGAACTGCAGGTATATTTACTGTATCCTGTACCAGTTCAGCAGTGATAATGATATATGCCCTCCATCTACAAGGGTTTTGCTCTCAGGTGCTAAAATGAAGTCTCTGTGAAGTTGAGCAGAAATCAGCTATTTATCTCATAAACCTCAGTGGCTGTGAAGCATTTGTGTTTATTGATGGAAGAATGTATTCAATGATGGGGTTGGTCACGCTGGAACTATCATCAGCACAGTGGCTAGGGTGGCAGGGGAAAAGAATGAGGGAATTTAAACTAGTGAACACAGGTCATATTAGTTGCAACCCTGTTTTGTTGTCTTAGCTAAGTATATGTGATATGTACGTGCGTGGAGTTATCTGTATGTGTGTGCATGCCTATAAAAGACCCCGTGTGGGGTGTGTGTTTATCAGACTTCAGTGCAATGGCAAGATTTCCCCATGTTAAGTTGCTATTCTGAATATACTCTGGGGGTTTCTATGTGTTTCTTCCCAGAGCTGAGCTCAACATATTTTCTAGCTGGTTGGCTGGCTATAATGCTTGATAGTCTGGCTAAGAGGCATGCTGAGGATGACTTGCATATCTGAAAATCAGGATGGGCCCCAAGTCATTTGAAAGGAGTGCATGAACAGAAAGCAGCAGCCTGAGAGTGCAGTTTTATTTAATGCAGTTCTTGGATATGTAAACTTAATGACTTTTTTTTTGTTCTTCTTTCCAGGGCGACTCTGTTATTACAGTGCAGCTGACTGAGGAAGATAAGGTTGAAGATGATGTAGTTTTCTACTTGATCTTCACTGGGTCAACTGTCCAGCACTGCACAAGCACTAGGAAGATTAATCCTGGGAGTCTGGAGACAATTTCTCCTGGTAAATAGTTGCTCTTCTTTGCATCCAACTGTATCAGCCTATGAAATCTGCTTTTTTCAAGTGGATTTAAATGTAATTCTGTTTTGGTCAACTTTTTTCTCATTTGTACATTCATTGAGTATAGAATATATGGTTTGGATGACCACTTTAGCAGTTTAAAAATCTCTTGCTTGACTTTGCTAGAATGGTATGACTTTCAGTTTGTAAATATTTAATGTTTGATGAAATTCTATTGTGGAAAATATGAAGTTATATTAATACATAGTAAAAAGTTTTAAATGTGAGCAGGATACTGGAGGATACATTTGCAGTGTTAAAGATGCTAGTGTCCAAATGGTGTATGGCCTGGTAAGTTCCAGTTCCTCTTAGGATCTGCTTAATTAGTGTGATGAGGTCCATTGCTGTAGTCCTTGTGAAACACAGCCCTTCTCTCTGAAATCTTGTTGTGCAGTTCAGAACAAACACAGCGTTCTCTGAAACCCTTGCAGAAGGGAGGAAACGTGCGGTGCTCAGTGCCATCCCTCCAGCAGAGCTCAGACAGAACGGCTTTTTGCATTTAAAGCACACCGCTCTCGTTTAGCCTTTGTGCAATTAAAACAAATCAGCACGGAGTTTTCTTTGGTGACTTCAGGCCCGTGGGAATGAGCACATTCTAGGCTGTGATCCCTACAATTAACCTTCCCTTCTGACTTCTTGCTGTGCAACACATTGGTACTAGTGTGAGAAAAACGTCTGACGTTTCCTCTGTATACAGTACAGCTTATGGAACTGAGTGTATTGTTTTATTATTATTGTTTGTCTGTCTAGTGATTTGTTGTAAGAGATGTGCATGAAGTACGATTTGGACTAAAGACTTAGCTAATGAAATACACCATTCCCTCCTGGTGATTAGTGGCTGAGAGTTGGCCACCTCATTTGCTCATTTCCGCTCCTTTCTGTGCTGTTGGAGCTGTTTTCTACTCGGGAAGAGAAGCCTTTTTACAGTGGCTGATTCCTGTGCAATCAATTAGCTCAGCGTCTGTTTTCTCACAGAAGGGGAGAGGCGGTGACTCGCAGCCCGCGTGTGCATGGGGCGCGCAGGGGCTGTGACAGCGTGGTGTGACCTCATCTCCCTCCTGGGACCCAGCGGCCAAATTGCCAAGAAAGGATCTGAAAGGATGCTGTGTTTGCCTTCAGGAACCAGAATACTTGATGGGATTTCCGGGCAGCAGTAATGCTTTCCTACAGCATTCGCCTGGGCATCCTCAGTGCCATGGCTTGGCTGGTGGCCATGGCTTGTCCCCAGCTCCGTGGCTCTGCTTCCCCTGTCCTGCTGGCCCCAAGACTAACTGAGTCACTGGGGAGGGCTCCCTGGGTTGCTCTTGCTGCCATTAGTTGTAACAAGTGGGAAATCTGACTCTGCTTCTGATTCAGAGGGAAAGGAGGTAATTGCTTTCGATTGTTCCTTTATTTATAATGGGAATTTATATTTTTTGGTTTAGTTGCGTGATGATTTTGTTTCTTGGATATTCCATAAGGATGATTGTTGTCCCGTGATGCAGCTTAGATCAGACCAACACTGAACAGGGGCCTCAGGGAGAGGCAGGCCCACGTGTACTAGAAGAATGGCTGAGAGTGAGGGTGACTTCTTAAATGCAGCCATTTGTGTAACAGCCCCTCCTGTGTTTGTACCTCATTTTGGAGAAATTATCTGCGGGGGAAAAAAAGACTTCAGTGAAGAAGATGCTGGGGAGAAGCAAAGTGAGAGGAGGAAATCATGCTATCCTGCTGACACAGACGTGCTTGCCCAGTGTTACTGCAGCACTGAGTTTAATACAAGCATGACTTATTTCAGCCCAGCTCTTCCTCCTCCTCCTTCTCCTTCCTGATCCCCGCAGTCAATCTGTAATTGTGTGTTTACATCGTATATTCGACCAGTTGCCTGGGAGATGCTGTGGTGACTCACGGCTGGCGTTATTTGACCTCTGAGCAGGATTAGCCATGAACAGGAGGCGGTGTGTGGGAGACCAGCCCTGTTTAAACACCCCAGGCAGGCAGTCAGTGCTGTGCCAGCAAGTTCTGCAGACAGCTTGCAGCCAGAACCTTGACCTTCTTTCATCTGGGAGCATCTTTCCTTTACCTTGGCACACTGTTGCACATCCCTAGGAGCGCAGCAGCTGCTGGAGGCTCTGGTGGATGCAGGGAGGGCTGATTTGTTATAAATACTCCAAGCCCTCCGCCAGCCTTGCCCTCCACCTCCTCTGCTTCCCTTCGTAGCCCATGGCTCTTTCTTCATCCTCTTCTTGTGTCCTCATGGCTTCATGCAGTTCAAAGTCTTCATCTGTGGTTGCAGGGGGAGCTGTAATTCTGTTAGAGCTAATTTTAAAACAAAAGTCTAGTTTGTTTTTTTTTTTCTTTGTTAGTTGTTTTGGTGATGTGTAGGGGTGTAAGAAACAGAAAGGGAAATAATTTAATTACATTTGCTGCCAAAATTGAGTGTTTTTAGCAAAACTTTCAAATGAAATCATGTTTAAAAAAAAAAAAAGGTCATTTCAGATGAGAAATTACAGAAAATGGAATGGAGATGTAAACTGTTTGGAATACCTTCTGGATTCCCATGTGTGAAAATTCTGCGCATCCTGGAACACTTTATCTAATTAAGCATACAACTGCAGTCAAATGACTGCTGTATTTTATATAGTTACCAGAACAGTCTGCCTCTTCCTTATCTCACCTTTATCATTAGCTTTGAACGGCACTGTTAGCTATATCTCTTCAATGTTGAAGTGGAAGCTTTTTATTTCATAATAAAAGAAGGGGTATCTGATTGTAAATTTGTGGGAGCAGCTTTTTCTTAGAGAAGATTTTCAACTGCAACATTAGATTTTGCATTCTGTTTTGTCATGTACTCTCTATCAGTTGCAACTCCGCAGCTGCTGGTGTGTCCCTGGCACTGATGCTCACAGGATGGTGCTGTGGAACTTCCCACACTCAGTGTCTTGATAATTAATAAATTATACAAATTCCTTATACATTATACATTACTTATAAAGGAAGGAGAATGGGCTTTCAGGTTCCCATGGCTTATGTCATGAATCTATGTAGTGGCTATGCCTTCTCTATACAGCATTCGTTAGAGCATAATAAAATGTTGGAATGTTGCATGCAGATTTGGTTGCCTTTAGGGAATTTTAACTTAGGTGTAGAGGTGTTTTTTTTTTTTCCTCCATGGTGGTGTAAAATACATTAATTCCCTCTACAGATTCATCTCCCTAACATTTTAGATTAGAAACTTCTCTTCTGTGAGGAGCAGACATGTGAAGCTGTAAGCATATTTGATTTAAGGATGCAAGAGGATATGAATGAGAGGAAAAGAAAACAACAGCCAGTGTTGAAGCACTGCCACTTTGTCCACCATGCCAAACAGCATCTGGCTGCCAGTCCTGCTGTACCTTCTTTTATGCAACTTGGCTAGCCAGAAACTTCTCTTGCTGGAATCACAGCCTGGTGCCCCATGCCTACTCAGAGAATAGGGCTTACAGCCTGATCTGAATGTCAGCCAGTGTCTTGAACCTTGTCTGTGTAGATTTCAAGTGAAATGAGGAGGCCCTGGGGGGAAAATACTGATGTCCATTATATTTTTAATTTAGAGAAAGATTCACAGTGGAGAATCTGTTGTTCCTGAATGAAGTAAGTGTAACCACTCTGTTGTCAGTGCAAATGATGGGTCCTGGATGACCTGTAGGGAAGGATCTGTTATTTTACAGGAGTGTAAGCTTGCTTGCAGACTGACAGCTGCGTGTGCTATAGAGCTTGAAGTGAAAGCATCTTGAATTCTGGTAGCCAGGTGCATATGTACTAGGGAGTTTTTGGACAGGAAAAGACTAGGAAAGTGATACAAAGGAAAGGAAAAAAGTGCTCAGAATACATACAGTAAAATTGTGAATCACACTATAGGAAAAAGGGAGGCAGCAATGAGACCCCAGAGATTTCAGGGATGTAGGATGTATCCTGGTTTGCAGCCTTGTTTACGTGATCAACAGCTTTTACCAGCCCCTAGTAGGAAAGTTGGAAGCAGCCTACGATTGTTAATCCTTTGCTAGGCCGCAGTGCTAGAAGTCTTCTGTTGGTTTAGGGAAAAAACTGTGCATCTAATGATCTTTTTAGATTCAGTGCCTTGAGAAAGATACCTGAATATGTAGGTAAGTGTCGATTCAGAAATCATGCAAAGGATGAGTAATAACTGTGGATTTGTACTTGCTCTGAAGGATGGGATGGGTGATTATCCTGCCCCCACATTTGGCTATATTGCAAATTTAGGAGAAATAATTTCCCCTTATAAGAAACAGATTCTCAACTGATCTGTCATAACTGTCAGAATAAACTCCTGAGTTTCAGGAATTAGGCAGTGATTCTTTTGTAGGCTTCCAGTACCTCTTGTGCTAGTCTAGGACAGATCAGGTTGCATCATCCCACTAAGCTTCTGTTTGCCTCGATGAAAAATAACAAAAAGATTTGTTTGCTACTACTTTATTAGTATTTATTAATTATTAAATACAATACAATATATTATATATTATATATTAATATAATATAGGTGATATATTAAAATATATAAATATATATAAAATATTATATATAAATATTAAATATTAATATATTTATTGTGATGATTGAGATGTTTCAATTTCCAGATGATCTAATCTAAAATTTTCTATAATTAAAGAAATTTTCCTCTCCACCAGAGATACTTCATAGTTCTGTGGAACAATTTAAAACATTCCCTTGTCAGATAGTTCCAGTGTTAAGGTCCATCTGTGTGGCAGGCAGAGATCATAGAATCACTGAAGTTAAGGAAGAGCACTGAGATCATCCAGTCCAACCTTCAGCCCATGCTTGTGGCCTCCATAGAATCATAAAATCACCAAGGTTGGAAAAGACCTAAAAATCATCCAGTCCAACCATTCACCTATTCCCAATAGCTCCCACTAAACCATGTCCCTCAACACAACATCCAGCCT